TTAGTTGCCATGCTAATTCACTCTCTTGGTAAACGCGGCTCAGACAGTTGTGTGCGGAGGACTTAGCGAGGGGTCTGTCACCACGTGGCCGTGCATTCACTTTGTTTATTAAAGGACACATACTAGATACATCGACTACTGAGCTTCACTAGGTCGCTAGAGCAGCCCTGCTGGCCCCCACCCCCAGGACGTCGTCTTTGGTGTGAAGATTTCCATACTCGTTTTGCCTGTCTTGCTTCTAAAGGCAAAAAAACTACATGTCTTCCGCTCACAACGCGCCCTGCGTCCGGAGCCCGGCACTGCCTGATCCTCAGAGAGTCCCTGCGGTGGGCAAGGGTTTCAGACTGCAGAATAGCATTAACACACCTGCCCGTTATTTGAAGTAGAGACAGGGTTTACAGTAACCGCTTACTTAACTGAAATCCTTTCTAGAACACAGTCGGAACAGAAAGCTGCTTCTTACCCCTAAAGCGTCATTGCTTCGCCTGGCCGCTCCATTTTAGCCCTAAGAGCTGTCCAGGTTGGGGGCGGGGAATTGGGGAGAAAGAAGGATCTCACGTAAGATTCTTTCAACTCTTTCCAGACACCTGCCCCCGCCCCACCTTGTAGCAGTTAACTTGATCTTATCTGGTCTTTCTGGAATCTTGTGTAGAAGGGAGCCACAATACCTCTCTATGTATTCCCACTCATCTCTTGATAAAGAGTGCATTACTTGGTCCGAACCGCCCAGATCCAGGTCTCCAAGTGGCTACAGTCTCTGGGGAAAGGACTGTTTCTAGGTTAGAGCCCATTAGCTGGATTCCAGTTTTGAAATACCTACAAAATCTCTACGTTAAGTTCTTTTCAGGAAAAAAATTCTTTCTGTTCGGAACGCTCACCACCTCCTCCCTCCAGGTGTTTCCCAGATGTGTAAATACCCCCAGAACGCTCCCGTGGTAGTTCTGCGAGCTTACTGCCATCGGGCGGCAAGGAGGTGACAGATGTGTGTATTTTTGAACAAACACTCTTAGAGTTGTTCCAAGTATCAGCAGGATAGCACACACCCCTCTTCAGAATAACATGTTTTCTCGGAGGCAATTAGAGCCACAAACGAGAGGACGAGTGCAACATGACTGGTATTCTCACTGTCTTATATCGCTGAGGAAACAACTGCCCCCAAGTCCACCTCCAGGAGCAGAATCGTGGTCACCAGCAGCGACAAAACCAAGCAGGGAATCGCATCTGTAGGGAGTGATTCTCAAGCAGCAATAATTGTCTTCCGGGGCTACTGAACTTTTTCCCGTTGCTATCTGTTGTTTATCCTCATATGACGGAGAAGGCGATTCTAATTAGAGGTTCTCTTAAATATAACTTGTCAGCAATAGTACTTAACAAGCGTTTGTTTAAACGGCTCCTGTAACGGCATAGTGAATGCTGTAAATTCATTCATGCAGACTGTATCCTTTCTGTGAGGAATTATTCATGTTGGACTTTTGCTTCCTGAAACAAAACCCAACAAAAAGTCTTGGCTCACGTTGAAGATAGTGGATTGTTGTGAGGTATCTATCCCTGTATCAATGACTCTAACTCTATTTTGGTCCGAAATGTAACCCTTTTCCCCTTAGTGTCTCCTATCTGCTCCCTATCGGAAAAAAATCCGTGATTGAGCTTTCTTTCTACCGTGAACAAATCAGCCCCCAAATTCGACCCATTTCGAAAAAGATGCACCTCTTTTAGGCTAACTTAAAGGCGGATGGTTTCGGTGTCGCTGTGGTTGCAGAGAAACGCGAAAGAGAAAATATAACACAACACCGGCCCCGCGCACTCTATGGGCCCCGCGACTTGCCGATGGGAAGGGCGTGGCCGCCAAGTCGGCCTTTGAGCGAACCCCGCCCTCAGCCCGGGCGCCTCCTACCCCGCCTGCAGCCTCGCCTGCCGTGCGCCCCAGCCCCCGTGCCCGACCTCGGTAGCCCCGGGGTCCCTGCCAGCCGCTTTGTGGCGCCCTCTGCACTGAGATGCCGGGCGCTCGGGTCCGAGTGCACAGCCATTCGACCTCCGGGAGCGCGGGGAGCGCGGATCCTGCACATGTCCCTCAGGGCCCTGGAGGCCAGGAGCAGCAGGGGCTGCCGGGCAGCGCAGACGCCGGTGCCCCCGGCTCTTAAGGAGGTCTGCGGCCACGCGGGTAGCAAGGCGGAGAGCCGG